CTCTCTCTCTCTCTCTCTCTCTCGCTTGCTCGCTCTCACCCATCTGTCTCTATGTTTTACTGTATCTTTTTATCTACCTCCCTCTACCTCTATCTTCATCCTTCTTTCTCTCTATATACTCTGCATTTCCTCTTTTCAGATTAAAATTAGAAATAGATGGACACAAAAACTGCTTCTTAGCTCTGTCGCGGCCATGCTAGTTCTGGTGGTACACTGTCACGCAGATCTTTACTAAAATAAATTTAAGTTTTTTTTCTTCTCTTTCTCAGAGAAGAGAGCTTCACGCGGTCTCGGTGTTTAATATGTAAACAACTGGTGGGTTGTGGTGCTCGCTGTTTTGCATTGAATAAAGACTAAAAATGAGAGAAGACGTCTTAAATCGGTGCACTTTGGCTTCTCAAAGTAGAAGGATAGATGGAGATTATTTGCTGCGATCTCAGTGCGAAATTTTTTTCTGTCTTTGGTCCTGAGATTTTTTGGCTTAGTGGCTTACTTAAGCTTATTCTAAGTCTTCAAAGGGATGGAGAAGGTGCTCAGACTTTGACCATCGTCTTGATAAATATGACGTGATTGGGGTGGGAGGGTGAAAAGGGTAGGAGGAGATATTGAAGGAATGAAACTGACGGAGAGGGAGAGAGGATGGGAGAGAGGGGGTGAGGGAAAACATGACATGAGGGGGAGAGTGGATGAGGGGGAGGGGGCGATGAGGGTGAAGGAGTGAAATTTATGGACTTACTTATTTAGGACAGGGGCGCTCCAATGACTGTTGGTATCATGCTGGACTACAGAGCGAACGGTCCTGGTTCAAATCCATGACTGGGCGTTCTTGAAAGCATGTCATTTTGTTTGGTTTTTATGGATTCACTGGCTTGTTGCTTAGGACTTTTTCAAACATCTGGTTAACCGATTGATCAATAGATTTTTTTAATTAAAAAAAAAATTTGGTTGATGGTATCATTTACTAATTATTTAACTGAATGATCGATAGATTTGCGGTTGTTTTTGTTGTGGTGTTTTTGTTTGGGATTTTCTTTTCATTCACTGACTAAAGGCTTTACCGTTTCTCTGCTGTCTTTCCCAGGCGTACTTGCGAGAGGGCGTGGCACTGCACGAGCTGGGTCGCCATGGAGACTCTTTGGCGGCTTTTGCCTGCGGCCTGGGCCAGGAGCCCGCCAACACACAGCTTCTGGACGGTTTGTTGGAGGCGGCCCTCAATTCTCCGCTCAAAGGTAGGTGGTGGTGTTGTTGAAATTGTTTAAGACGGCAAGCTGTAATAGTCGAAACTGTCTTAGACGGTAAGGTATTGTTGAGGATAAAAGATGCAGTCAGATACAGATGGCTGACTTATATAGTGTTATTACATTAATGATAAAACGAAAGGAAG